GTTATTTGATTATTGTCACGAACATGGACCGGAACTAATAAGACAAACACAAGACGTTCATTTATTATCAGAAAGCTTAGAAATATGTTATGCTGAAGAAAAATATGATATTGCAATCATTATTAAAATTGATTTAAAGTCAAAAAGATAAATACAAAGAACTGGTGCCGTCGCAATTTTTATGTCTTCAGAAACCAAAAAAAGAAGATTACAAGATATTCAAATACATCAAAAGCTTAATAGAAATTACAGATATTATAGGATATATAATATTACTTATAGTTATCAACACGAAAAAAAGATGTTAAAAAAGCATTCGAATATTTATTAAAAATTTGCCAATCTGGGACATACTGCTAAAACAAATATGGTTAGATTTTATTGCTAAGGTAGAATTAAAAGAGACAAATATAAAGCATCCAATATCTTCCAAAATCTGGTAATATGAATAATATTGTTAGAACATTTAATAGAACCTAAAACAGAAGCGCTAGTGGTATCCCATTACTCATGTATAATTATAAAGTTCGTTGAACTATGTTCCTAGTTTTAGTACAAAAGCATCGCACAGCTACCTTATTTTAAAGTAGATTTAAAAAAAAAAATAAAAAATCGACTGACCCAATTTTCAGATTCTATGTAATGTTAAACGAAAAATTTACTTTGCGTGGCCTTAGCTACCAATATCGAATATTGTCAATTTTCCTAATCGATATCTACCCTATTTAAAAATTTCCTGCTGCATTGAGAATGAGAAATAAAATATCGGGATATCTCAATATTTTGCTGTTATGTTGCTGCTAACGTCCTACCTCACAATATGCTGCTGATATTCAGCAGATCTATGGCAGACTATGGGTACATATCAGGAAACTTGTCTCCCGGTATTAGTGTTGGGATCTGTATGGTTAAACATTCGGATTCGGATAGCTGAGGATAGCACGGATATTTGGATGTCAAATTTTTCTCACAGATGTGAATCCAGTATCATGCTCAATTTTTTTTAGTTTCATTCTTATTTTGGTATAGTTTGTGACACAGTTGGGTGATTAAAGCTCCAATCGAGTGATCAAAGCTCCAATCGAGTGATTAAAACTCCAATCGAGTGATTGAAGCTCCAAGCGAGGGATTAAAACTCACATATGAATTAAAGCTACATAAGGGTTTAGTTTTAGTCTGTGGAAGGTAGTTAGAACGATGGTTAATAGTATTTAGTATTATTGTATAGTCTGATGTATTGATTTATGTTAATATAGAAAACCTTATAATCTGTAATTCTGTGTGTTAGTTTGTTGATTTAAACTATTTAACCTTAATCACTAATTATTCACGATCGAAGCTAAATTGATCCAAGACCCTATAAGCTCTCCAAACACCGGATAACAAAAATATTATGGATAATCATCCGGATACCATTCGGACGATTATATAGACTTTTAATTTACCGTAATAAGAATAAAATTAGCATTCTAATTGGCTATTATCTGGATGGACTGATATTTACCAACGGATATTCGGATGGATATGGATGTCTTATCTGGATAACTTTATTTAGCACAAATGACTATACAGATTTCAACACTATCCGGTATGCACCTGTGTTTATTGTGAATGAGTTAACAGAGAGCCCTTCTTGTCTTTTAGTATTTTACGATTTCCACAAAAAATATAAATAACAAAAGAATGAAAAAAGAATTAGCATGTAATCAAATTTGTAATTAAGATAAAACAAACATTTCGCAAAAATAAGTTAATAAATATTATTTTATCAAAAATCTGGTAAGGAATATACTTCATATATATTGATTATATTGATAATTATAGAAAGTGCATTCACACAATCAATCAGTAGTGAAAATATAATTGATTATTGGACACAAGAAAAAATATTAAATGCAAAACCTTTACCCTTAAGAATAAAACCATAAGCAATAACAAAAAAGAAAATCTATTTGTCTCAGAAGTTGAATATGACAAGCCACCTCTTGAAGTTGGAAATTATTTTTTAATTTAGGTTCTTCGGATTATGCATGTATTGTTAGTGTAATTAATACCAAAAATGGAAATACAGGAATTACTGCAAAATATAGCCTTCATTCAAATGGTGCACATTCTGAAAATATAATTTTTTTGTCATGGGTATAACAATGACAGAACGAGCTATTTAAGAAAAATTTCTGTTATAGATTCTAAATGGGCAGATAATGATGATTATGGTGTGATAAAGTTTGATTATAATGGTGGATTACAATATAAAACAGGATGCTTTGACTGGGGATTAGATCCACCTAATCTAGTGAGAATTGTTACATTTGGATATCCATTTGATGGTGAAATGAATTGTGTAAAAGGTGGGAGTTTTTGGAGAGATGATGCTAATTAAGATCATGGCTATCTATCAATTTCTTTAATTCTTGGACATGGTACAAGTGGAGGTCCTTGGGTAATGAAAAATCAAATTCAAATAGTTTTGGATATTTAATTGGTATTAGATCATTTGAGGATATTGGTGAAGATGGTGCTACATTTTCATATATATTAAATTTAACTCTTATTAATGAATTAGCTTTGTAAAAAAGCTATTTCTTCAAATATTTAGATGTATTACTATAAGTTCTGTAAAAAATTCTGTTACATAACTTACTATTCTGGTAACCACAATATGTGGTTAATATCGACTTAGTTTCAGTGCAGTGATCATGAAACCCGTGTTTGTCCGTACTTAATCCCAAATTTATACGTGTAATTCCATATATTAATTCCTCATGTGGATATAGCAAACCAACGATTCTGGATGTGAAAAAAAAGTTGTGAAATTACTACTGTATAAGTGCGAATAACGTCCAGGAGCGTTATTTTGTATAATGGCCCGAATTAAGCTTAATTTAGGTCAAAATACGAAATTACACCCCTGCGCGTTATTTAGATATATTTTCCTAGAAACTGTAACTTAGTCCGCCCCAGATTTTCAATGCTTGCCTTAACGAAGGCGAATACTTTATAAGTCAATTATTTTGTCCATTGCAGCATTTCACCTTATTGATATTTAGATATGGTTATTTTCAAATTCACAAAGTTTGAATGAACATCTTCATTTAGTTTTGCCTTATCTCTATCTTGAGATAAATTATCGATAATGATTTTTAGAATAGTGGCCAACTTGTCAAATTTTCTCATGCACACTTTTTTTTTAAGAAAAAAAACTCTCTACAGAGGGATGCCATATGGCGTTGATTTTGCTCTTTTTTCAGGCTAATATATAATTCTAGCGTTTACTCAGGAGATTCACGAAACAAAGTTAATTTATATTATCATAATTATAGATAAGAATAAAACCCCTGAAAATACTTAACAACACTTAAGAAACGCTTGTTATTTTTTAAAGCTGCCATATCGAAGTGATTTATAGCATCAATAAATGATGCACATTGTAAAAGGGTAAATCGTGACTTGGAATGAATTTTTCGCACATAGTAGATCAGATGCATATTAGGTTTAGAAGCTA